TATTTTTTAATAATCCCTTTTTCATTCGACATACTTTATCTTAATCAGGATATTAATAAGGAACTAGCAGTTTATGAAGCTTTTGGAATAATCCACCAATTTTTTAAAATTAAACACTATCTAAAGATTTGCATCAAAGCGTTTATTTTTGATAGTGATTTTAATCACTGTCAGATATCATTATACTTGATCCAACTATGCCACGTCATCATTGTGCCGCGATCCCCCTGTGCTGGATTTTTTTTTATTTATTTATTGATAAATAATGAATAATAAGTATTAATAAAATTGATGACTTTAAGTGCTGGGTAATATTTTTGTCTATTGGTAACTAAAACAGAATAAATACTAATAAATATAAAAATTTTCTAACACTATAATACTATGTTTTTACAAACACATTATATTTTTATTGTATAAATATAGAAATCACATTTTTTACTGTTCAACAGTAGCGCAATTACTAGAGTTGCTTCAAAACCCCCATCCTTAATTTTAGTACAGACTCTATTACAGAAGTCAGCAATTTGTTTGCATGGTAAGCTAGATGTTTAAAAGAAATATTTTAAAGAATCAGAAAAAAACGTAATTTATACATTTAATAATTAAAAATAAATTATCAAGCAAGTTTCTCTGGATAAACAGACAATAATGAAAATAAAACATGATTATAAAATCATAGTTAAGATTAATAAGGAAATTAAATTAAATTGTTAAAAAAGAAAATTAAGTTTATCATGTACAAAAATACAGAAGTATCCAAAACCATGTCTACAAAGAAAGGCCGACAAAAGTAAAACAAATTTTTTAAACAAAATTAAATAATATATTATAAATAATGACATTATTGGAACACATGTTAATCAGAAATTAATGAAAAACAGGAGCAGTCTGGACATATAAATAAAATTAAGTTAATTTATAATAAAATAAAATAATTCATAGAAATATAGCTTATTAGATAAATATAATTATAAAAAAGAAAACGATACCCAAACAAAGGTTACCCATGTTTTTTTCCCCATAATTAATATATTTATATACAATAATATAAATATATTCAAACTAACCAGTTAAAATAACGTAATACTTTTTCATATTTTCTCTTTGCATCTGCATAATTTTTATAATTAAAATATTGATTACCAGAATCTTTGATTTTTGTAATTACTTCGGAAAATTGATTTACCTGAAAAAAGTTTTGTTTTTATTATTTAGAAATGTCTATAAAATTAAATGATTGCCTATAAAGCTCAGCTGAAAACCATTGTCTTTTTGAGCAGGTATTGGAGTTTGATGTTCTCCAATGAGCTACTCAGATTTTACTATCCTTTCTAACACAAATATTTTACTCCTTACTTGAGAAAACTTCAATTATAAAAAATTTAAATAATAGTTACATCGAGTTCCTTAGGATGAAATGTCCAATCATCTGGAAATGGAGGGAAAATATCACAAGTCCTATCATTTTCATTTATATCCCAAGTATTGCTATCATTTGATAATTCACCACAATTTACAATTACACATGGCTGAAATAAAAATCAAACAAATTAAAAAAAATCTATTAGAGTAAGGACAATCGGGACAAATTTTTTTTTTAAACTAACTTATATTTTGTAATATAAGTTTTAATTATGTTTTTCCTGATAATTTTCAAAAGTTAAGTTGAAAAAGTTCTAATTTTTACATGTATGTTTTAAGTTTTTAACTCTTCTTGTATATGAGGAAATGGTCAGATTTAAATAAAAATATGTTGGATGAAAGGCATGTGTATAAAAAAAAAATTGTGTTGATCCATACATTTTCCAAAAAGTTAAAATAATTACAATTTAAAATTTAAAACTGAGAATTTTAACACTAAATAGCATGTATTTTAACGACGGTGACCATTTGCATATAGAAGATTGTTTGTGAAGACAAATTTTTTTTTAACTTATATTATGTAACATAAGCTTAAATTTATACTCCAGTAATTGACGAAATCCAAGTAGAACTTTGGAGAGAATAGGACGAAAAAATGAGTATTTTAAACTCATAAAGAAAGTATTTAATTCAGGTGAACTTCTTTTAGATTTTAAAAAGTGTACAATCAGTCCTATTCAGAAAAAAGCAACCACAAACAAATGTGATCAGTATCATACTTGCTGATAACACATGTGTTAAATATAGTGACAATAATTATGTCAAGAAAAATGGAAAATAAGATCAAAACTATATTGTCAGAAGACTATTTTGGATTCAGAAAGAACTTAGGTAAAAGATTAAGAAAATATAAGCCTACATACATAGCTTTTATTGACATAGAAAAAGCATTTGACAATTTTAACTGATCAATAATGTTCAAGATTCTAAAAAGTGCATGTATAGAATACATTGAAAAGAGTCTACTCTTTAAATTATACCAGAAGGAAACAGTTGTTATACGATATGGCAAAATTAAAGAAGAAGCATGCGTAAAAAAAGGAATAAGGCAGGGTTGTACCCTCTCATCTAACATATTCAATGCATACTTCCATGAGGCAATTAAAACAATAAAAGCAGAAATACATTTGAGTATAAAGATAAATGGTAGAAAAACCGATATGATACAGTTTGCAGACAAAATAGCAGTAATACCTGAAAACAATGAGGAATTGCAAAGGATGCTGAGATGTAATGAAGAAACTCTATTCAATGAACTGAGCATAAAAATAAATACAAAAAAGACCAAAATTCTTTTATGTAACAGAAAAAATAATATTAAGACAAGAATACATTTGCAAAATAACCAAGCAATAGAACAAGTAGAAGAGTTCACATACTTGTGAAGCATACGAAAAATCTTTTAAAGGCTTACGTATGGAGTATAATGCTGTATGGTAACAAAACATGGACAATTGCAAAAGAGAATAGAAACATTGAGATGTGATATTACAGAAGAATGCTTAAAATAAGTTGGACGAATATGGTAACAAATGAGGAAGTACTAGAAATAAATTCTGAGAGAAGAACTCTATTAAATAGTATCAAGAAAAGGAGAAATGAATGAATTGAACATGTATTGAGACATGGTGGGTTTCTTAAATTATAAAAAAGTGCATAAAAGGTAAAAAAGCTAAGAAAAGATCATAAATGGAGTAAATGCAACGAGTAATTAAAGACCAAGGGTGTAATTCTTACGAAGAGACATAAAGGAAGACAAGTAATAGGAAAGAGTGGAGAATTTCTATAAACCAATTTCAGGATTGAATATGAAAGAAAAAGAAGAAGCTTTAATTTAAAAAACATATGAAGCTCAGAGTATTTCCAAAACATTATTAAAAGTAGAAAAGGTTATACTAAAGTTGCTAATTTAAATCCTGCTGTTGGTAGGTAAATACAAAATATAAAATTGAAATTTTTAATAAAAAAATAACATGTTACAGTGTGGAACATAAAATAAAAGTTTTTTTTTCAACTTTTATTATATAACATAAATCTTACATTAATATATATTAAAAAAAAAATTGTTTTTATTCATTTATACTTGAAAAAGTTAAAAAAGTTTAAAGTAAAAAAGGTTTAAAAATCTCAAATTGAACTGATTTTAAAAATAGTAATTTTTCAGGACTTCCCCTATTAACACAGAACAACGATGGGATTTTTTAATTTTTAAAGGTAATGTCTTTGACTAGATACTATTTATAATCTTTTGACATATCACAGAAAAAAGTCTAGTGAGACCATTGTTTTTAGAGCAAAACTTTATAATTTACTATTAAAACTTTACAAACTCAATTATAATTTTATTAATTCAGTTAATTAATTTGCCTTTATTTTTACTATTAATAATACTTACATTAATGGGAATATCATTTTTTGTAACTGTAGTTGAAATTGCTTGAACTACACAGAATCCTTTAATTACTCGCCCAAAAGCTACATTTCTTCCATCTAAATGAGGACAGGGAGCAAGTGTTATAAAGAACTGCGAGTTGTTTGTATTTGGTTTACCAGTATTAGCCATGCTCATAATTCCAGGTTCATTATGCTACAATATAAATCATTTTTTATTCATTTATCATATATATCATGTAAATTATAAAATAGTTGAAAGTAAAGATTTAAGGCGTTTTCACAATACTTTTTTGAACATTGATATTGTCACAATTATTCCAATGATTTATTGAAATATCAAAATATTAATTATAAATAATCGATAAATCTTTTATCAATCATTTTATACATAGATTATTTATATGAAATTGACCCACACCAAGCATAGTTATGACAATATATTATATTTTATTATAATATAATTCATTATATTTTTTAGCTAGTTAACTAAGTGACACTGTCACCTAGTCTTTTTGATTGTATTTTGAAACATTTTTTTTTAGCAACTGGATGAATATAAATTTACCAAAAAAATACTTGTTATGTTATAAATATATAAGGAAAATTATATTTATGTCCTTCAGTAATACTTTGCTGAAAAATACACTGCATTTATTTATAAATCGTTATCACCAAAAGTATATACTATGAAAGAGGATTTTTAAATTTTATACCAATATTATTTTGATATTTCAATAGACTATTAATGTTGATATTCTACAGAAATATAGAAAGTATACTCATTTTCGATAATCGTTTTTTAACTCTGCTAGATTTTAATGTTATAATAATAAATCTATAAAATAGATTTATATTAATTATAATTATAAGCTCAATCTAGGGGAAATTAAGGTGGCCTAGCTCCTATAAATAAAAATTTATTGAAATTATATATATTTATACTATTTCTGAAGGGAAAAATTAATTTAAACCACCTAAATACTTTTTTTTTATTCTCCTAGACTATGATTGGAATATATAACTCTTGGGTCCACTATTGGGTCAATTTTAAGGGGAGAGGATAATCTAGATTTTGTCGTAAGAAGTAACGGCTGATTTTAAAGTGTACTAGAAATAATTTGAAAAAAAAAACAGTGACACCAAACAGGATTAGACATTGTGAACTCAAAACATTATATTGATAAATTTTATCATTAACCAGTGCACAATTTTGATTCTAATTATTATGAAATTCTGCATATGATAATAGTATGTTGGTTGAAGTAACATAGTATATAATGGAAAAACACAAATTTTCCTAAAATATTCTTTACATGATATTTAACTTAGAGTAGCACTATAATAAATAAATACAATAAGTAGTTCATAAATTTATTATTAGTAAAAAAAAACAACAACACTTACTAGAATTTTAAAGTTTTCATCTTCAAAATATAAGTTATAAATGCTTTCACCTCCAGATCCATCACCAGCAGTTATATCACCTCCTTGAATCATAAACTCTGGAATGGCTAAAATGCAGAAAATGTAGTTCTCAGTTTTTTTCTTATGAAAACTATTAGTCTATTTATAAATAACTCAAATGTTTATAAAATATAAAATTAGAACATATAGTGGAAGAAAAATTATTTTATGGTTTATATAAGTGCACATGTTTAATATATATATTGACCGGATATTGTAGTACTGTCCAAAATTAACATACAATGTAACTGAAGCTCAACTGGTCAATGTAGTAATGTCAGATATAGAATAGGCAATGTATATCATCCATATTTTTAGATATCTGATATTACTATTATAATAATGGTATTAAATAAATATAAAATTTAATTTAATTATTTTAATTTATAAGTAATATTTTTAATAAAAAGTATCATATAGTCATTTTTTGTTTAATTAATGTTTTTAATATAATTTAAAATTCAAATAGTATAATACATTTTTTTAAACTCAACATTTCCAATTTTACCAGAGCAATACTACAATGTTCAACATATCACACTGCCTGTAATTCAATATTAAAGTAACGTATACATTATTCATAGAAAATCTATAAACATTATATACTAAAAATCATTTACAACAACATTAAAAGAATAGGAAGTTTTTCATTGTAACTAATAGCTAGTTTTTATCATTTAGGACAAGTGCTAGTTTTGATTAAATAATATTAAAACAATGATAATACATATACTGTTATATCAGTGTGGATTTTTTAAGGTATTTAGAAAAATTCTTAGTTAAATAAATAAAAAAAATGGAAAGCTAGAGTGTAATTCCCCTCTATGGACATTTAAATACTATGTTTTTTAATTTATTAAGTTTTATAAACTAGAATCATAAATTTTTATTCTATGATCATAGCTAGAAAAAAAAATATGATATTAAGTTAAGTGTTCTACATGAAAATGGTTCATTATTTTCCAAAGAACAACTTTTATTGATACCCATTTAAATTTTTTTATAGTTTGATACTTTAAAACAATTTTTGTATAACACCTATAGTAAATGGTATTATTTTAAATGGTATTATTTTATAGTAATTTGTAAGTTGTTGCTAATACAGTAATTTTATTTACAAATTTACTATAAATTTTAGTATAGAATCAAATAGTTTAATACTCAAACAAAGTGTAATAATATCTTATTACAGTGCTTTTTATTGAATATGTATATTTACTAAAATTCAAAATTGTATATCTTACAATTGAAAGGTTTAGTGCAATAACTAGGTAAATTAACACATGAACATCTTACATAATTAAAGGTTATATGGTATAATGATGTGTAATTATAAATAGGACCTGATGATCATGTTTGTTTCTTATATCTTATGCCTCCAAACCACTAGTTAATGGGATATTGAGGACTGGGTCATTATCCCTACACACCATTTTCCTTATTCTCTTAAGTCCACTTTCAGAAAATTTTCAGGAGAAAAGTTTTTACTACTTAAATACAATAATTGTCAAATTATATAACCCAATTTTATACTAAATTATTCAGAAAAATAATATTTATTAATCAAAACTTAATTATTTTCTTTAAAAATTGTATTATCTGATTATTGCACAGAGCTCTTCAATTAAAATATTGGTAAATAATTAAATTACAATATTTGTTTAAGAAATAGATATACATTTACAAATTTAAAGTTAATTTTATGAAAAGAACTAATACCTCTATGAAATGTTGATCCTTTAAAATGCAATGGTTTTCCAGATTGTCCTATTCCATTTTCTCCTGTACATAATGCTTTAAAGTTCTTGGCAGTTTTAGGAACTATGTCATCAAATAGTTCAATGACAACTCTTCCAACTAAACATATAACATAATTACTAAATTAATAATACTTATGTAAAGTATGACATTTTACATACTTTTTTCACCTTCAATTTCAATGTCTAAAAAGACAATAGAATTTTGAGAAGCAATATTATCGTCAATGTTCATGATTGCATGATAAAATATTCAATAATGTACTTACACTGTCAAATAGTTATTAAATTATTACAAAGAATAAATATAAATTATATACAATTTTAAATATAAACAAATCATTAAAAAATGAAAAAAGATTTAGTTTCTACTGAAAACAAATAATTTAAACTGATGTCATTAAGACATAAATTATTTTCTATAATTATTAACAATTAATAGACACTAAAAATAATGAAAAATTAAATATGATAAATATTGTAATTTTTAGGGAAAAATAATTAAATTTTTAAGAATATTAATAAATAAAATTGACAAAGTTAATAGTTATCACAACTAATACTATCACTAACATATCAAAGTTGGTATTTTATAACTCATTGAATTTGTTTACCGTGATTTACTAATTTGACTATATAAACTAATGTTGAAATTAATAAATCACAACAGTGGGACACTATTAGTTAAAAACTACTATTATTTTTAATATTACATGATACCTACTATCACCTAAACTCTTTCATGGTCAATCACATTGTCATTGTTACAAAAGTTATACAATCGAGAATGTTACGTGTCAAAACTTAGAAGATTATACATAATTTGAAATCTTTATTTAGTAGTAAAATAAAAAGCAAACACTAGTTTTTTTTACACATATGAACATATTTTATGTCTATGTATCCATATTGCTATTCGGCGTCCGGCATCAATTTACATATCTTTATCTTATTCACTAACTCAAATGATATAACTTATTCCTTAGAAGCAGTCAACATTTACTAGACTAGGGCATTCACCATTACTAAACAGGTTAGGCAGTGATACAATATTAAATTGAAACACTATACGGTTGTCTTTCACAGACAATGCAAAAATTTAATTTCCATGTAACTTGAATGTGTTTATTTTTAATATGAATAAAAAAGATTTTTAGTGTAGTAGATTTATTAAAATAGTCGAATCTACCTAATTCTCACGCTGCATATAAATATCTAATGTGACTTGTGACATACGAATAAAAAACGACTACAATTATAAATTAATAAAAAAAATTATTATTCCTTATGATTTGATGACTAATAAAAAATAATAAATTAACAAATAATAAAAAAATAGTTTTTATTGTTCCTATTGTTTTTAACAATTTACCTGTCTTCTTACAATTTTAATACTTAATATGGTAAATTTTTGAGAGGCTATTAGTCCTCACCTTTTATATCAGCGTCTGTTCTCAATAAAAGCATGCGCATGAGGTGTGTTAGGTGCTCTAGCACACTCTGACGAAATAAAAGAGGTTTTTCTTTTTATCAATTATCCAATGATATCATATTATATTTATACAAATTTTATAATAAGTTTTGGATCCATGATGGTATTAACATTTTAGTTAAAAAGAAATGTAAATTTTAAGGTATCAATTGATACATTGAAAAATTAAGCCAAAGTGCTATAAAATTACTATACAACAAACATTTAAAAACGTCCTAACCACCCTATCTTGACGATAACACAGTAGGGTCGCAGCACAGTTTTTACGTGGCANATACATTGAAAAATTAAGCCAAAGTGCTATAAAATTACTATACAACAAACATTTAAAAACGTCCTAACCACCCTATCTTGACAACCCCCAACAATTTGTGTCACGTCACCTGTCAATACTCACAACAAACGTGCCCAAATTTTATTATTGAAAAGAGGAATTATACTGTTCCAGTAGCCACCTATACCAAAAAAACGATAACACAGTAGGGTCGCAGCACAGTTTTTACGTGGCATANGCACTTCCGGCTTTACCGCTGGATGGCGACTGCGACACAGCTACCTCTCCTCGTCCGACAGGTCACGCGACGCCGAGTGACCGCGGGTGACGCGAACCGGCCCAGGCCGCCGGCCACCATATACTTCATATATTATCGTGGTTGGACTATTGTCTATTTCCTTTTTTGGAATTATTATTGTTATTAAAGTTCTTATGTATATATTAAGTTAAAATATATTACAACGTAAAAGATAAATACGGTGTTATTATATTATAATTAATAAATTATCACCTAACCGCAACATTGGCGCAGTCGAAAAGGAATATTTNAGTTGGGTTAAGTATAGATGATATCTGACAATGACTAAATTAATTATCATAAGAAACGTTTCAATGCAAATCTGTAGATAGTATTCAATTTTAAGAAATTGGTGGATTACTCGCAAAATTAACTCCTATTTCTATCATTATTAATAATTAGTAGTTCTATGATTTATAAGTATATTTTATGAATAAATATCTATTATAGCAATTCAACGTAGTATGAAATTGATATTTAATAATTTAGTATTGTAATTTTTATCGAGAAATTATAAAAATGTATAAACTAAATATTACTTTTATAGCAAACTTGTATAAAAGTTGAAGAGTTTGATGTTATACTTTTAAAAAAAATTGTTTGTTATTTATAAATAAATTTATTGGTCTCCAAGGAATTTTCATCAGAGACCAAAATATAATTTTTTAAACCCATTTTCGAGTCTATTTCAAATCTTTAATTAGTTTCGCATATGGACTAAATAATAACAAAATCATTCTAATTAATATAAAAAATATTTATGTTTGATTATTAGTTTACTTATGAATAATCAATAAATATATTATAATTAAAAAAAACGTAGCGAGCAGAAGGTATTATGTATCAATATGAATAATTATTTAAACACCAAGAGTTGTATAGAAATGCTTAGTAAGACTTTTATTTAAACGATTTATTACAATAAAAAATTTTTATTAAATTTTGAGTTTTCCTCATAAATTTACTGTTAATAGTAATTAAATAAGTTTCTGATCATATATCAATTTAAAAATAGGACATTTTATTCCCCATGAATTTTTCTATTTAATGATATAAATTCTAAATTTGCAAGTTGAGTTAAAATTGTATTTAAAGTTGAATATTTTGAAATTATTACTTTAATAAAAATCAAGTATAAGGGATCAAAAAAATTAATTAAAATTTTCATTTTGAATTGAAATTTTGCGCGTATTATTTTTAACATATTAAAAATTAATAATAAATTGATAAACATTTCTTTTTTCAATTAATTTTTTCACGTGTTTTTAATTAGTAATATTCTCAAAAAAGGGGTGATTGGAAAAATCTAATTTCAGACTTGAAATCAGCATAAAAATTTGATTAAGTATAGTATATATTAGTTTATAATCATTAAAAAATATTTTATTTTACTGATATGATTTGGTCGATTTGGTGTCATTCATTCTATACTACAATTTATTTTGTTATTTTATGAACCACCAGCTATCAAGTCAAGATAGTATACATTATTTGTTGATTGTCTTTGTTTCATTATTTTGTTCTTTAATATATTGCACTTTGTGGCATGTACTTATTAAGTGACCCCCAATCCATAATTTAATGATATTTTATATTTATTGTTAATTTTAATATATAAGCCTTGTTGTAAGTCTTATAATTTCTTCTAGTTTAAATACCATTCTCAATCTAATATACAGTCTACTACCTATTTCTTTCTCCTGCATGATCATAGACAACGAAACGAACGTTAACTAACCCATGAGAATATTACTAGGCGATCTGTTCAAACAGATATTATTGTTACTATAGATACTATAATATATATCATTTTAGTTAAACATATTTTCTTCATTAGCTGTAAAACGTAACAGATAAAAAATTTATTATTAGATAGTAATAATATTTTACGAAATAATACATAAAAACATTTTTGATTCAAAAATTACCCCTATTTACCTTTGTGTAACACATTGAAAATCCGAAAATGACGGTTTAAGTAATATTTTTTAGTAACACGGCGTAATAGTTATGCAATTTTAATACATTTATGTGGGATTAAATTTTTAATAATTTTACTCTATATCTAACTATATCCCTTATGTAATAGTACAAAATAAAAAGGTAAAAATAATATAAAGTAAGGGTGGTTAAAATATTAAGGAAACCTTGGGTGGAAATATAAGGATAATGGTCAAATAAACAAAATATACATAAATGTCTTTAACAAAATGATAGAAGGTATGATAAAATAATAGAGTGATCTAGGAAATTGAACAATATTGAGTTAAATATCCCTATAAAGTTTTATAAATTATCTTAGTGGTTTGTTACGCAATCGATTATTTATGACTTGAAAGTATAAAATTAAATTTGTACTTACATATACCCCAAGTCAAGTAATAATATAATAAGCAAACCTATGTTGATTTCGTGTATTAAAAGCACTGCGTATACATTTCACACTACGCATTATATCGTCAATATAATTATTTTTGAAAACGAAATAATTTTAAATAATACGATTTCGTTACATAAAATCTACGACTGATTTCTATAAATATTAGATTATAAGCACTCTTTATATTGTTTTATCAAAAATATAACTATTATAATGTACTCTTATTATTATGTACTTTCATTATTATTTTCTTTGTTGAATAAATATTTTTTATTTAAGACAGTATATATTATTGAGAGAAAAACATCAATATTTTTTGAAGCTTCCCCTGCCAAAACAAGGTAAAAAAACATTTATATAAATGTAAAAATTTTACTAAGGCAGTATTTTAGTGGCTCAATATGTTCCAGCGCTAACGCTTTGAAAGTAAGCGACACAATATTCACTAAGACAAAAATTAAACACTAAAGATTTCTTTGTAAGTGTCTTTGCTCTGTCTGTCGATACAATACTCTTAATTCTAAAACAAATTTAATTAAAATAAGGATATAGCGTTTGGCTAGCCATTCAATATATATATATATCCTAACAAAGAACTATGTGACCATTATCAACGCTAAATACATTCTGACGCCCCCCAATCGAAAAATACTCCATTATATACCAATGGTGTCCTTATCATTATGTCCATTATCTTATTTTGTCAGCTTACATAAGTTTAATAATGAATTTTTCAGTTAGTCAAGATTCTAATTATTTGATTCTTATTTTTAAATATTTGTATGACCTCCCTTATAGTAAATTCTTTGTAGTTATTTACGTTTATAGTTAGTTTTATAGTTTTAATGGAAAGATTATGTGTCAATAAATGTTCAGTCACAAGTTTTATCAACTTCTTGATTTTTAATGTTTCTTAAGTGTTTTTTTAAACTACTTCTATGTTACTTTTCTTTTTACCACACTAGTTATGTACTAGCTGACCTTCTTTCATTATTCCACTTTTGTGTTCAAACTAATTTCAAAATTATGTTTTCGTCATATTTTTAAAGTTTTTTTTAGTTATTTCTCTTATAACCCTCAGTTATTCTGAACAATTCAAACCACAGCTGACAACAAAAAATTACAGCTTTTAAAAACATGGTTTACAGATTAGTTAAAATTAATTTTATTAAAGAAACTTAAATTTTAGTACTGTTACATCACAAATTAGAAGGTGGATTGTTTATAATTTTTTGTTATGTCTACTTATTTATTTTATCACGTAAAAGAACCTTTTCAATATATTATTTTATTTTTGTCAGCCTTTCTTTGTAGACATGGTTTTGGATACTTTTGAATTTTTGTCCATGATTAACTTAATTTTCTTTTTTAACAATTTAATTTAATTTCCTTATTAATCTTAACTGTGATGTTTATTTTTATTGCACGAATAGCTTAAGTACTCTCATGTATTTTACCCCTGTTCCTCAATCTAGACACGGGCTACAGTATGTTTTACATATCAACCACTTGCAACTTCAATTATCATAGTTGTGATTAATAAACTGCAAAATGTTATAATCA